GTAAATTAAAAAAAAAAAAAAACACAGTTAATCTTCCCAGAGAGAAACAATTATTTAAAAAAAGAGAGTGAAAAACAAAAAAAAAAGAAAAAAAAATTGTATTAACCATACACAAGAGGAGAGAAAAAATCGTATATGCAATCGGCTGAAAAATGAACCCAGCTAAGAAAAACTAATTTTTAGGCGCAATCTAAGAGTATATATATATATATAAAATATGGTTAAGAAAAAAAGGTGCTTTTATCCCGTTTCGTGCGAAATATTTGTTTATTTCATCTGTTCCCTTATATTGTTATATCTCTTTCAACTCGCGGGTTTCTCGTGTACCCGATGTCGATCGTTATCGACGATCGCATCATTCTCGTGTATATGTGTCCCCGCGAGTTCCTTCTCGGGGAGTGTGGGGGGGAGGGTAGGGGTGAAGTTTAAGTATCTGCAAGTGTATCTTCTCTTTGGCTCTAAACGTGTAGCGCGCGGACCATACACGTCCACGTGAAAAAAAACGCCTCGAATAAAAACCTTCTCGGGATGAGCAAGAATGGTAAAATTAATAACGTCAAAGACAAAAAGTCCAAAAAAAAAAAAAAAAAAAAAAAAAAAAAGAAGAAATAACCCACAAACAGAGAAAGGAAAAAAAATAATAGTAGTTAGCCACACACAGGTCAGGCTATGCAAAAAGAGCGGTGGTTCAGCTCGGACAAAAACGGATTTTTCGCGGACGATTCCCGGGTGTTTTGGAATTTCTCCTCGACGAACGTGTGTATACGTGTGCGTGTGTGCCTGTAGAGAAATATGGTAACGAGTCGTGTCGATGTCCCTAACGTGTACACCGCGAACCGAACTCTAACCCCCGCCGTAACCCTAAATCGTTGTGTGTCCTCTGTCCTCTTTATTTCGTTGGGTCGTTCGTTGCAAGTCGAGAGTCGCGAGAAATTTCCCTCCAAAAATATTTGTACTCTACTAAGTGGCGAGAAACAAGAAAATTACCCCTGGCGATCCCGATACAAATTATATAGCACGAGCTAGCCTAGCACAAACTTCGTCCCTTTACGACGACCGAGGAATAGTTCCACCATAAAATTCGATTTCTCCGTGCGAAATCTCCTCGCCGTAATACTTTGCGCGCTCTAGCACTAGGAATTTGGCAATTCACGGCGGTACGCGATTCCCAGACGCCCACTGTGCTCTAAAAACGGACCCGCGGTGCTCGCGAGGCTGAACCTATCATCTTCGTATTTAACTCTATCGATAAAAATAACCGAATAAGAACACTCCGTTTTGGAACACTTTCCAGACTAATTCTACGAAATATCTCGTTTCGATGAACTTCACGGGACTCGATTCCCGGTCCTTAAGTTTCGTTGTCGATAACTCGCGAGCGCCACCTGCACGCGCGTGCAAGAACTACTGTTCCGCTGGTTCCCCTCGACTCGAGCGCCATCGCGCGGCCGCGGGTGGCGACACGCGCGACTCCTCGAGCGAAGGAAACTCTGCCTCGGCTCGATACGAACTCGTTCTCGTAATTCGCTAAAAACAGAAAGAACGGAAAACGCGCGAACGTTCGAACGGGTTGCACCGTGATTCCCCGTTGCTCTTCTCATCGCTTCCCGCGAATGCCGCACCATCGAACCACGCTTCTCCGTTAACGTTTCTACCTCGGAATGTCGTGTGTGCACCGGTCTAAGTGACTCGCTTCGACGATAATCGTCAATCGTTTTACGTATATTTATATGTATATATGTGTGTGTGTGTGGTTTACGTTCTCCCGCGATGTACCGACGAACGAGGCCTGTACGTCGAATTTTTCGGGGGTAAACGTCGCGTGTTCGACGAACGGAACACGCGGCAGAAAATTGTCGCCTATTCAGGGGGTGAGAAAAGTGAAAGCTCGAACTGAACACGAGAAGTGTCTCCTTCCTTTCTTTTCCGTTCTCTTTTTTTGTCTCTTTCTGCCCTTCCTTTCTGTACAATCGTGTTTGTGTGTCCCTGGTTGTACTCTCCCTGTGGTATTCGTTAACACAGTACGTTCGTATTCGCATACCACATCTAAACAGTGTACGCTATTACAAAACGGAAAGATTAGAGCGTGAACAGCGACCGTTCCTGACGATGATTTCTTATATTTTCTGTACTTTTCTTTTTACTCGTTTTTTTTTTTTTTTTTTTTTTTTTTTATTTTTTTTTTTTTTTTTTTTTTTTTTTTTTTTTTTCGTTTCGTATCTTTTTTTGTTTCGTTTTGCATGTTTTTTTTTTTTTTGTTCGATCGTCTTTTTTTTCTCGTTTAAATGGCTAGGAATAGGATCGTTATTGCTGTGGCAATGGCGGTCACGTCGAGCTTGCGAGTACCTCCAGCGGAAGTATCTATATTGTAGTCCACATTGAGGCCCGTAGATTCTGAATGATAAAAAGTGACTTGTAGAAGGATCGTTTTTGTTGTGTCTTGAATATGTTTGGCTAAGAAGGGGAGGGGAAGAATATCTAAGTACGCCTAAGATGCCCATATATCGAATGGCTACCGATCAGTTCATCTAAGTCGCTTGTCTACAAGGGTCAAGGGGACTTGAGGGCTCTTCGTTCGTCGATGATAGAAATCTAACGGAAATCTACACAGAGACATCTCGGAAAATTTCCAACGGTGTCGAAGATAAAAAAAAAAAAAAAAAAAATAAAGACACGATCATGACAAATCGAAATACCTCAATGGCCCTTTTCCCTCCTCCTTGAGTAAATGAAATAAAATCAGAGGCGAAGTGATCGTAAACGGTCTCTCTCATCGGGTAAAAGTATGACAAAAAAAAAAATAAGAAAAAAAAAAGGAAAAAAAATAGTACGACATATCAATCGGTGCAATAGCCTCGTGCACATATATATATAGATATATAATGTAACAATTTCAAAGAGAATAATTACGACTTGATAAAAGGGCACTAATCAAATACCGTAAGACGAAATGTCGTAAGATGAAGAAAAAACGGCGAACGAAACGGACACGATTCGAGGATACAGTTAAAAATGTGTAAGAAGAAAACAAAGGAAGACAGGAAAGTAGAGAGAAGTGAACGAAATAGATGGAAACTTACCCCTGGCAGTCTTAAACTTCGCTGAGCCTGGCTTACTGAAACCGATCGCGTTGTGTGCCCTCAGCTCCACCTGGTAGAACGTGTCCGAGTAGAGGTTCTTCAGCCAGTGCCTCAGCCTTCCTTGCGTCTTGATGTCCTTCGTGTGACAGGTATCCTCCAGCACCTCCCAGTCGCCGGAGACGTGTTTTATCTGACAGTACTTGATCTCGTACATGTCGATCGGCTGGCCGTTGTCGGCTGGCGCCACCCAGGACACCTCGTATTGATTGCTGAACTTGGACAGAGTGTACTCCGTCGTTGACTCGGTTATTATCTTTGGCTCGTTCGGGAACGTCTTCACCGGCGTCGTCTCGCGACGGAAGGCTCCCCAGTTACCCAGGCCGACCTCGTTCCTAGCTGCGAACCGGAACTCGTACGAGGTGTGCGGTTCCAGATTTCCCAGCACGTAGTGCGAACCTGCAAACCACGAGACAGACAGCCAACTTAGAGGGACTGTGCACAGAGGATCATAGCGAGCATATCTTTGACAGTGTAAGGATAATGTAGAATAGACTTTTCATCTGTATACTTCTTAGGACCTGAACAATGATGTCACTGGGAGAAGGCACCTAAAGGACTGGGACTGGGACCTATTTAGATAGGTGGTCCAGACATGACAGAATGTGACAGGATTCTGCAAACGATGAGAGAGACTTCATATAGGGGATCATAGTTATGAGAGTGATCCTTGTCAGAGTATTCGACAATGTGAGGATAATATGGAACAGATCTTTGATCTCTGTATTGTTATAAGATCCTCAATGATCAATGATGTCTTTCAGAGAAGGTACCTAAAGGACTGGGACTAGTATATGTATCAGGATAGGTAGTCAACATATGACAGAATGTGACAAGATTCTGCAAACAATGAGAGAGACTTCGCATAGAAGACCACAATGGTGAGACCTTTGTCAGTGTATTTGATAATGTAAGGATAACGTAGAATAATTCTTTGATTTATATACTTTTTACCACACTGCCTCTGAGAGAAGTTACTTAAAGGACTGGGATTCATACAAGTATCTAGATAGGTGGTCCAGACAGATGTAGCAGGACTCTAACGCTAGTCCAATCTCTATGAACTTCTTTGACAGCTTGGACATGTTATGGGTCTACGACGTAGAATAGATCTTTGATCAATGCATTGTTTCAGGATAAGATCCTGAATGAACAATGGCGTCTCTGAGAGAAGAGTTACTTAAAGGACTGGGACTTATACATATATCTGGATAGGTGATCCAGACAATGTGACAGTTCTGAGAGAAGAGTTACTTAAAGGACTGGGACTTATACATATATCTGGATAGGTGATCCAGACAGTACACAATGTGACAGGATTCTACAAACAACGAGAGAGACTTCACATAGAAGACCACAATGGTGAGACCTTTGTCAGTGTATTTGATAATGTAAGGATAACGTAGAATAAATCCTTGATCTGTATACTTTCTAGAACAAGATCTTGAATGGTCAATGATGCCTCTGAGAGAAGTTACTTAAAGGACTGGGACTTGTATATGTATCTGGATAGATGGTTCAGACATGACAGGATGTGACAGGATTCTGCAAACAACAAGAAAGACTTCATATAGGGAATCATAGTTATAAGAATGATCCTTGCCAGGGCATTCGATAATGTGAGGATAATATGGAACAGATCTTTGATCTGTGTATTGTTTTAAGATAAGATCCTGAATTATCAATGATGACTCTGAGAGAAGTTACCTAAAGGACTGGGAGACTTGTATCTGGATAGGTTGTTCAGATATCACAGCATGGGACAGGACTCTAACGCTAGCCTAATCTCTATGAACTCTTTCACAGCTTAGATAGGTGATGGATCTGTGATGTAGAATAGATTTATCATCTGTATATGTTTTTAGGATAAAATCCTGAACGAGCAATGATATCTCTGAGAGAAGTTACTGGAATGACTGGGACTTGTGTTTGGCTAGGTAGTCCAGTTTCTCTACTCACCAACGGACCACGTCATGTTGCTCGCCTCCATCCAGGTCTGACCATCCTTCTTATACTGTACAGTGATCGTTTGTACGACCAGTTCTGGCTGCGTGACAGGTGGTTCTAAGTCGAATCTGATGGTGGTCGCGGTCATGTCGGCTACCTTCACCTGCTGCACCTCTCCCGGCTTCGTAGCCTCCCTCAGTTCAATGGTATGCTCCCGTGTGCCATGGGTGTTGGACGCGATGCATTTATAAGTGGTGTAATACCGTTTGTCCAGAGGCATGATCATGAGAGTGGACAGGGGTCCGTTGCCCAGTTGCTTGATCATAGCATCGTTGTCAATCTTCTGGTCACCGAACATGGTCCAGCGAATGGTAGCATTGGGTATGCTCTCAGCGATGCAGCTGATGTTCACTGGCCTCTGCTCCCACGACCAGACAGTGGTATTCGACATAGAAGCGAAGGACGGTGGAAACTCCACTGTCAAATGACCGTTCCTGCGTACCTCGCCACCAGAGTTCTCAGCGATACACTCGTACAATCCGTCGTTCAATCTCAGAGTCTCGCTGATGGTCAGAGTGCCTACTGTCTCGCCGGTGATGTCGTCTGGGCTGTTGGTCACCACGATTCTGTCATCGTCCAGTTGCGCCCCTTTCGTGTAAGGCTTCTCGGCGGTCAGCTTCCTGAAGGTGACTTGGGGTGGCGGTCTACCGAAGGCCTTGCACACTAGGCTAGCTTCCTTGTCCTGCACCACGGTGCTGTTCATGAACTCTATGATCTTGGGTTTCACGATCACGTTCACCATGATGTTCGTAGTGGCTGTACCGGCGAGATTCGTCGCTGTGCACTGGTACTCGCCCGAGTCGTCTCTGTTCACGTTCGTGATGGTCAACACGCCCGTGTCCGCGTCCACCCCGAAGCGGTCTGCGTTCGAGAGGTTCTGGTGCGTGAGTGATTTCACCCAGGTGTATTTTGGCGGCGGTTTGCCGTGAGCTTTGCACTTTATGCTCGCGTCTTCCCCTTCGATCACGTCTATCGGACTAGTCGGCTCCTCCACCGTCGGCCGTATGTGGACCTGTTAAATGAAACGCAAACCTGTTCCGTGATACCTGTGGCGGCATTATGGCTGGGATTGGGAATAATTGGCGCATGCACTCGGGGTGCAGCTCCGAGGGGATGACGGTGCGTGTGCACGGCGGCGAGTATGCAAACCAAGAGGGGAAATGGATGTACGAAATTCAGCCCGGATATTTGATTTCCGTTCAGCGTGTAGCTTTTTGTTTACCCTATCGTTTGCTTATTATGATTGCGCGTTGTTTTACTCGTTCTTTTGCAGATATTTTATATCTCCCGTACTGTTCACCGATACATCTTTTTGCTCTGTACGTGCTTCGCGCAAGGCTCATGAATATGGAATTCGTAAATGAGCTTCTCCGGCTCTGCTGGCGTTCGCGAGCGTAAAAATTATCAGAAAGCAGATTGCACTTTTTATGGCTCCGTTCCGTTATTGATCTACCTATTTATCTCCGAGCATGTTCCATCCAATTTCGTTTTTTCCCGTTTAATCTTCCACCGAACCGTCACGACTGATGAATTTCATTTATTTGGAAAAATCTGCAATGCATCTGAAATCTACGTTATTTATACTCGATTTATTTCTGAACAGAACGATGCTCGCCGAAATTCGGATACGATCGTGAAATGGGATCGCTCTAACTAGTGGAAAGACAGTGCCCATGAGTATAGTGTTCCCAGAATAGAAATGCAATGGAAATTTGCAGATTTCTGGGGTGTCGAGGCTAACGAAATTTCGCGAAAAAGTAAGTTACGAATTTTTCTATAGTTCTATTAGGATTAATTGTTCTATAAGAGCATCCTGACTAGTGGACAGATATTCCCACAAGTATAGCACTTTCAAGAACAGATTTGTAATGGAAATTTGCAGATGCAAGATGTCAAGGCTACCGAAATTTCACGAAAAAGTAAGTTACGCATTTTTCTATAGTTCTATTAGGATTAATTGTTCTATAAGAGCATCCTGACTAGTGGACAGATATTCCCACAAGTATAGCACTTTCAAGAACAGATTTATAATGGAAATTTGCAGGTGCAAGATGTCAAGGCTACCGAAATTTCACGAAAAGTAAGTTACGAATTTTTCTATAGTTTTATAGGATTAATTTTTCTGTAAGGTCACCCTAATCAGTGGACAGATGGCTGCCATAAGTATAGTGCGTTCCAGAACAGAAATGCATTGGAAATTTGCATGTGCAAGGTGCAAAGGCTTCCAAAATTTCGCAAAAAAGTAAATTATGAATTTTTCTATAGTTTTATGGGATCAATTTTTCTGTAAGGTTACCCTAATTAGTGGATAGATGGCTGCCATAAGTACAGAACGTTCCAGAACAGAAATACAATGGAAATTTGCAGATAGAAGGGGTGTCAAGGCTACCGCAATTTCGCGAAAAAGTAAGTTACGAATTTCTCTATAGTTCTAATAGGATTAATTGTTCTATAAGAGCACCCTGACTAGTGAACAGATATTCCCATAAGTATAGTACTTTCTAGAACAGAAATGCAACCGAAATTTGCAGGTACAAGATGCAAAGGCTACCAAAATTTCGCGAAAAATTAAGTTACGAATTTTTCCTACAGTTAAATGGAAAGTTTATCTGTAATAGTAACTGGAACACGGTTAGCCTGATGAGCAGAGGATACTCACCTCGACGTGGATGTCTCGTTCCTGCAGCTCTCCCGTAGCCTGCACGGAAGCTCGGCAAGTGTAGATGCCGTCGTCGGATTCCTGGACGTTCTTGATCTTCAGGGCAAACGTTTCTATAATGTAGTGATCGTTCGTTTTAATTAACTCGCCGTTGTACAGCCAGTCGACCGAGGGCGAAGGCCTGGCCCGCACTTTGCACAGAATAGAGAAGTCCTCTCCCAGGATGGGGTATTGATTGATCGGCGCATTCTCCCAAGTGATCGCAACTGCCAAACAGTAATTACTCTTCATAACTATATCATTTAACCTCTGCTACTGCCTCCACGATTTTTCGCACCTTTTTCCAGGTGGTGAATAACCAAAACAGAGCTGTCAGCGAGACTTTTGACAGATTTCTGAACTCTAGCAGAGGAAGATATTCAGGTGACCAATCAGTTTCAGACTTTGGACGAAGACAGAAAGATCAAAACATTAATAAGTCATCAGAGATGCTTCCTATGAGAGTAATTTCAATTGTCAAATGTCTTCGAAGCTACCTATTATAGTGTTTGACACCACATTGCCTGTCATGATAACATTTCTCTGAGGAAACGAATTATTTTTCTGAAATTAATTAGTCATTTGGCTAACTTCACTCGTGAGAGCTTTGTGATCTTTCGAACGTTTCTGCAGATCAAAACAGAGCTGTCAGCGAGACTTTTGACAGATTTCTGTGCTCTAGCAGAGCAAGATATTCAGGTGACCAATTAGTTTCAGACTTTGGACGAAGACAGGAAGATCAAAACATTAATAAGTCATCAGAGATGCTTTCTATGATAGTAATTTCAATTGCCAAATGTCTTCGAAGCTACCTATTATAGTGTTTGACACCACATTGCCTGTCATGATAACATTTCTCTGAGGAAACGAGTTATTTTCCCGAAATTAATTGGTCATCTGTCTAACTCAACTTCACAGAGAGCTCTATAATTTTTAGAACGAGTTTCAGGAAATATAAATCAGATACTGCATCGAAATTCTGAACTTTCCAAAACATAAATTGCAATTTTTCTCTCGTAATAGCAACCCACTTATGGTTAAGAAAGGGACAAATATCGAATCACGGTTAAACCGATACAAGTATCTAGTTTCAGATCCAGGACTCGATGTTTAACTTCAAAATCTGTTCAAACTTGGGTCACGAGTTGGTACACAAGCGAGAGTGGAAGCAAGATATATATATATATTACGTGAAACTCGGTGGACATTGAATCCGTGAAAATCCAATTTTGTCTAAGACCTTTGCTCACCTATGGCATCGATTGTCACGGACTTGTGCAGCTGGATCGAATTCGCGTAAGTGGCTTTGCACGTGTACTTCCCGGCCTGCTGCTCTTGCAGAGAGTTGAAGAACAGGGTCAAGATTTTACCCTGGTGCATCTCGGTGTACATCGACGGCTTCGAATGGGCCGGGTACGAGCTGTATGGAACGATTAAAAATCACTGTTAGAAACCGTCAGACCAGCTTTACGCATTGCACATCCATTCCAACGATGATAACATACTATCAACGATGATGGTGGTGACGATGAGTGACATGTCCGGATGGATAGTGTTGCAGAGTGAACAGAAAGTGGCTCAGTGTTTCGCAAGGTACAATTAGAGATCTAATCGATGGGCTAATTAGACGCATATGTGCGCACGTGACTAACGCTATCTAGATGGAGTCACTGTGCGAAGAAAGGATTAACCACTTGACGCTCAGCGAAAAGGAAAGAAAAGCTCTAAACCAAGATACCAATTTAAATACACTGCAAATTTAAGCATTTAACTCTATTTAAGTAACAACAATCCCAAAAGAAAATTAAAAAATATTTCAAACGAAACAAAAATTTAGACCCATTTATTTAATAAAAATTAGAGTACTAAACTCAGTAATAATAAATTCGAATAAAATGGAAAAACTTCTTCACAAATTTTCTTTGTCACATTAAAAAAAGAAAATATTGGGCTTCCATTCGAATATCAAAAAATGTAAATGAGAATTAAAAAATAAAGAAAGCAGTTTAACCCCTTGACTACGGCAAACTTTGATACGTAGTGGTCATACCATAAGGCAGGAATTGAGTTACGATGTCCGCCATTTTTGTGAAAACAAGCGCCCTCCGTGTCATAAAGCCAAACTACACCGAGCGCCTATAGGCGCCCTCTGTGTCACAAACGCAAAGTTTCTAAGCGCCCACAGTAGCCAAGGGGTTAAATAAGAATTTCCGTAAAAAAAGAAATCCGCAAAAATTTCTTTCGCTTCGAACAACGCTTGAAAATTAATCGAATTATCAGGAGAAAATTTGTATCCGTGTTCCAAGAATGTAAAATGGTTAAAAGAAGCAAAGCGGAGCGAAATCGTGGCGCGAGATAGCCAGAACGCGCGGCGAGCCGGTGGCTGGAAATATTCGGAGCGCATCCAGGAGCGCATAAATCGTTGGCAAAACATCTAATCCGTATTCTAACGCGAAACACCGAGCCGATATCGGTGAAATATCGTTACGAGGCGGGGGTTGTACACGCGGTGAACAGCGTGGGGTCTCGTCGAATTCGGATCGATGGGACCGGGGTATCAGCCGAGGTTCGCGGATCGATCGACCTTAATTCGACGTAAGAGCGAGATCGAAGCAAGAGCCTGTATCCCCGTAGACGCTGGCTGGATCCTGGAGGGCCGGTGAACGCGGACAGCCGGCAATTTCGGCGTCGTTCCGTGTTGCACACGGATCGGGAAACCGGTACAAACGAGACGCATTCACATGGATTCACACAATTTAACAACACCGCATGACAGAGTAGTGGGGACGGAGATAAGGTTGTTGGTACACACGGAGATGCTGAATCGCGACGTAATGAATAGCTCCGATGCGAATCCGACCCAACACTCCCCCACCCAATGGCCGGCAGAGATACGCTCTAATGAACCCTTTCGATTAGGAAACGCGCGAGATCGAGAGATCGGTGATCCGACACGCCGTAGGGAAAAGGGAGTAAAAGTAACCGGGCTGATCACGGATTCGATCGTTGGCAGGGTTCAGCCGCGATTAGCCGGGGTTACGGACGGATTGCTGGCTTTCGGGTTATGGTACACCACTCACGGCCCTGGCTCCGGCTGTCCATTGTTTCCTTCTCTTTGTTAAGCCTCGTTCAGGCTAGACAAGCTCCACTCCACTTCGAGGATCTTCACTCGAGAGTCCGTGTTTAGTAACCTCAGCCATCGAGTTCGTTCCTGAGGTCACTTCACACGAGCAGATGCGAGCTTTTTTGTTGCTTGTAAATGAGATTGGTGATCAGGTGGTACGCCATTTTGTATAAATGAGAGAAATATTTTTTGGCCAACGAGTTCTGTTTTTGATAAAAATTTTGGTCACGAAATAGTCCCTGTTTAAAAGTACTAAATATGCATGACGTTCAATGGTTTCGCTATAAGGCCACTAACTTCTTAACGTCTTGAACAGCTATAATAAGACTGAAGAACCCAATTCCTGGATAAACAGACGAATTTCTAACCTCACTCCTCGCCCATATAAATAATAGAAATATTTCTTGGCCATTGTGTTCCGTTTTTGGTAAAAATTTTGGTCACGAAATGTAAATGACGTTTACAAGTATGAAATATGTACGACGTTCAATGGTTTCGCTATAAGGCCACTAACTCCTTAACGTCTTGAACAGCTATAACATGATTGAAGAACCCAATTCCTGGATAAACAGACGAATTCCTAACATCACCACTCATCCATATAAATAATACAAATATTTTTTGGCCATCGAGTTCTGTTTTTGGTAAAAATTTTGGTCACGAAATGTAAACGATGTTTACAAGTATGAAATATGTACGACGTTCAATGGTTTCACTATAAGGCCATTAATTTCTCGATGATTTGAGTGGCTATGACTGAAGAAAGTCGATTGTGCTAGACCATCAAATGGTCTATGAGATTATTATTGTAAATTAACTACGGTCATGCAACAATAGTGACAGGCCTATTAGAGGTTGTAGGCTAATACCTATCTTAGGACTTCAAGAACCTTCGATACTATGCAGGCATGAAGAGGTCGGTTTTTAGGTTTAAAAGAGCCTGCTGTCAGTCTCTAATCGAGAACAGTATAGAACGCTTTTAAAGTATTGTGACCCATAGAGGCGTGTTTAAAGCTCTTTTTTTACATTATCACAAGTGTATATATTTCACTTGGATTGGGCTTCATATATCTATTGCAGTACATTTGAATATGGTTATTTCCCTGCACGTTAAACGCTTCGATTTCCTTCCCGAAATCCCGACAATTATTCTTACAGGTGAGACCGAGGCAATGAACAGCGTGACAATCTTCAGTCCAGAGTTCAGAGTCTTCATCTTTGGTCAGACTGACTTGGACAGGATAAAAGAGTGTGCCAGATGAAGTAATAACGCGTCCATCTATCCTCGCGCTCAAAAACACTGGGTCTCTTCTTGCAGACACTGTCATCCGGTGCCTAACCACCCAACCACCTCAAAGAGCCGTCGTGCAACGCGTCAGGACGTCACAGCCCAGCAGCACCTCCGACCGCGAGTGGTATCACCCAACAACCATCCGCGATTACCCAACTTCAAAGCTCCTCTTGAGATCGCCATTAGCCGAAAGGAGAGCGTTCCACGGGCGTTTATGGTGGACCAACAAAGGCTACGTGGAACGTAGAGGAGGAAAAAGGAAAGAGAAAATGGAGAGGAAGAAAAAAAGGGGGAAACACTTTGGAACATGTTTGGGGCATGTACGCGTGCGTCTGTCTACGTGCGACGATGAGGGTGATAGCCGGCTCGGCGATTATGCAATAATACCCTTTCTTCTTGCCTAATCGGGAACACGGGCTGTAAGTACGATTAATGAAATGGTTCTCGGCCGGTACACGCGTCCCGCGCTGAATTTATCGGCCATTACTCGCTGCGACGAGCGGACATAATTATGCAAATCGCTCGGGGTCCGCGTAATCGGGCAAACACGCGATCCGACGAATCAGTTACCGAGGTTAACGCTCGTTGGATTGTTTGATCGCGCGGTTCAATATTTGCAAGACGCGCGCCGCGATACATTATTTAGGCACGTGGATCGATCGGCGGTATGGCTGGCAAACGCGGTGGAGAAGACAGTGGGGACCACGCGTGCCTGGATAACACGATGGTTCCGTTGACGCAGCGTTGTTCTAGCTGAGCACGAGGGGAACTTGCAAGTTGCTCGCGTTCTGTCTGTTTCGATTAATTGCTGGCATACGCGCGATGAAATTGCCGCTGTTGTGCGCTCGAAATCGACTGCACGCTCAAGGCCGCTTCCCCCACTGCCGCGCGGCTAGGGAGGAGTGGGGACGCGGCGCGGAGGAGTTGGGACACGGCGCGGTGGAGTTGGGACACGGCGCGGTGGAGTTGGGACACGGCGCGGTGGAGTTGGGACACGGCGCGGTGGAGTTGGGACACGGTGCGGGGGAGTGGGGATGCAGTTGGTGAGCGCTGTCCTTGAGAGTATAAACATATTTCTGCACTCGTTCAATCGAATGGATTCTTTCGCTTAATCCTTTTATAATTTCCGGTTAATCCGTTCTATGTTAAGATCGTGTTTAACGAAATTTGGAATTATTTTTGCGAATATAGGGTGGTGGAAATATTCGTGCTATACAATTTGTTGTCGTGTTGGAGGTGGATCGTCATAATTTTGTAATGCTATGAGACAGTTGGATATATATATGTATACTCCATTCAACGAGAATTGACAGGGAATATGAACAGCTGCACGTGAAGGACGCATGATTAGATCAGGGTTAAAATGTCAGACCTGTGTCCGAGCTGATCCAGGTGCGAGATCGAAAATTTTGAAGAAAATTTGGCTGGCTTTGTATGCAAGGGTCCCTATTCAGGATGTCTAAAAGTCGACCCTGAGCATCCACGTTCAGCAGTCACTTATCTGCGACCACAGCATCGATCACGTGACAGTTTGGTTTATATTTCCTGTTAACTCTCGTTGAACATAGTATAGATACGTTAGAGGATTCAGAGACACTGCATCCATAAAAATATTGCAACGAGAATGTACTGTTTGTGTGTGTATATATATATGCATGATCTAGCAAATGATGTGTAACTCAACCTAATGGGTCGCACAATTGCTATGTGGACCTATTAGGTTACTGTAGCACTGCAAATGATCATTGCCATGATGTTTTTGAGGCCCCTAGCGAGGGAATCACTGTATGTAAGAGATAGAAGGAAGAAAGGTGTATTTCCCGTGACACCTGCTACAGGAGATTAAGTCAGAAGATGTATCACTGCATCTTCTCCCGCAATGTTTGTGAACCACGTTCCATGGAAACGACTTTCCTCGTACTTGGGGTGTCAGGAAACGTGCAACACGTAGAGTGTACAAAATGTATTACAGAAACAAACAGGAACACCCAGTGTGCATTTTGTC